GTAGAAATCTATACTTAAAACCTATATGATCTACTTAGCCAATGTTACCCCAATAAATTTAATAAAAGAGAAAAAAGAATTGCACTCTTAGGATTGACAATTTTATATGTAAAAGAGCCATTCTAATAACTAGAATTCTTACCAACCCCTATCAAGTTGATAGATTTTTATGGTATACATTGAAGCATCATTTTAATTTCTGTGCCATATTATAAAACTAAGATCCCAGTAAATAGACATTTAATACCTATTGTTCTAAATCGCTGCATCAATGAACTGAAAACAATATCTAAGAAACAAATCAATAAAATTACCCTCTGAGAAATTTTTAGAAAGACTAGTTCAGCAAGTAAATTCTGTTCATTATAAATGTATATTCATAATCACATTGCTTAAACTGTTTTCCAAAATAAGAAACCTAGCTATAACAAATATTCAGTCAAAAATATTACCTTTTCTCTTTGAAAACTTGTTGATGTTATTCACATCAAAACATAAATTTTAGATAGACAGATACATAGTTGGACAGAGAGACAGACTAAGTAAAGTTTCCTGATTCTTGAACATTCCTAAATTTCTGACTTGGCATAGACACAAAACAAACAGGTGACAACTGGGGAGGATAATTTGAAAATGTGACTATGTGTAGCTCCGATTAATAAAATGAATTATCCAAAATATATAAGAAGTTCATAATAGATAATAGAGCATGTGCTCTTGAAAAGTAGAAGATAAATTGGAAAGTGATATTACATCAATGTTGAAAACTTAATTATAATGAATTCTCTTTTATAAAATTTGCTAATAACTCTCTACAGTAATTGATTCAGCTTTTCTTTGTTGCTTTTATTCTACTTTAGAAATATATCATCCTTTCTCTGAGCCTTTTTTTTTATTCACTGAAAGCCAGAATAAGCAGGAAATTGGGTTCTTCCACTGAAGACACTTATCAAACAGACTGTTTCAAATTGCTTTGGCTTGGAGACAGATAGCCGGTTTCAGTAAAAGTGCTATTTACTTTAAAAGAAAATATTCTTTTTAAGATCCTGATCAGAATTCATTTCTGAGACCTTAGAAAACATATCCAGAATCCAAAATTGGTACCACTATTTTATCTTAACAATATTTTTAAAACATTACAAATATATACGGTATACATGTATACAGTATTCAGAAATATTTTGTCCCATCATTTATCACCAAATAACTTTCAATTTGAGTAAAGGGCTTTCTTCTGAGTATACATAGATGCATTTTTTGGTTACATATTGTTAAGATAAAATAATGGTGCCAATTTTGAATTCTGGATACATTTTCTAAGGTCTCAGAAATGAATTCTGATCAGGATCTTAAAAAGAATATAAGTCCCAGGTAGAGACTTATGCAAATTAGGTTACCAAATTCACTGAAATAATTACCCATTTCAAATCAAAGACTTAATAACAAATCATAATTTTATTTGTGGAACAGGTGGCTCAATATTAAGAGTACAATTTGAATAGAGTAAACTTTCACTCGTACCAAAATGAACCAACCTGTGTGTAAGAGCTCCTGTAGTTATCAGAAGGAATGTGTCACCTCTCAGATGTGTTCAAACAGATGTTGTTATTTTACTTAATTTTTAAAAATTTTATCCAGCTTTTATGGTTATCCTCAGTGAGAAGGTTGGTACAGGTTACATGTTTGTCATAATGAGAGTAGGAGTCCTTTGATTTATTTCTTCAAATATTTCCCCCTCACCTTTCTCTGTTCTTTCTCTAGAACTATTATCAAAAGGATAATTTATATTTTTAGCTGATTTTCCAATGCTATTATGATTTCTATGTCTTTTAAAACTGATTCTACTTACCAAAGGGATGCCACAATTTTATTTTCAACCTTTTTATTGTGTCTCTCTCTCTCCTCACACATACACACACATTTTTATGCACAACATTCCAATTTTTAAAGTTTTTAAAAAATGTTTATGTGTTCCCTGTAATAGAATTCCTTTTTATAAAATGACTTTTAGAGAGGAAAGAAGGGAGGAGAGGGAGGGAGGAAGGGGGAGAGAGGGGAGAGAGAGGAGAGAGAGAGGAGAGAGGAGAGAGAGAGAGAGAGGAGAGAGGAGAGA